TCTCCTTCTCATTTCCTACTGATTAACTTCTCAAATTTTAATCTTTTAATTCTCCATTCCCTTTCCTGTCTGTCTTTACTAGAACAACCATCTGCTTTACCAATCTTCAGATAGTTAACTGTACCCTACTGTAGAATTCTTTTCTATTGTTACTTTTATTATACATGTGTATGCTTGGAAAAAACCCCAGAATATATATGTATATACACACATACACACACACACATACATATATATGATTCATTACTATCCATGGTTTCAGGTAATCACTGGGGGTGTTTGAACATAATTTCCCCAGGTGAGAAAGGGGACTACTGTAATTCCATTTAGTTCTTTTATTTTTGTTTCCTTTTTTTTTTTTTTTTGAGACAGGGTCTTGCTATGCAATTCAATCTGGCCTCAAACTCAAGACAATCTTCCTGCCTCAGCCTCCCAAGTGCTGGGATTATAGGCACGTATCACCATACCCAGCTTATTTGGTTCTTTTAAAATATCTTTTATTTCTTTGCTGCATTTTCATTTGTTTGAATCAATTATTTAGTGAATCAGTTTTATGAGGCTGCTTTAAAATCCTTGATAGATAATTCCAGCTTCTGAGTCATCACAATGTCTGCATCTGCCTTAATTCAGGCTGCTGTAACAAAATACCACCAAGTGGGTGGCTTAAACAACACACATTTAGTTCTCACAGCTGCAGGAGCTGGAAGTCCAAGATCTAGATGTCGGTCGATTCCATTCTTGGTAAAGAACGTTGGCCTACCTGGGAGAAAGCCACCTTCTAGCTCTGTCTTCACATGTTGCTAGAGTGCCACTCCCTCTCTTTTCCACTTTTTTTTGGTGGTGTCACTGGGGATTGAAACAAAGGCCTTCACACTGAGCTACATTCCTAGCCATTTTTATTTTTACTGTGATAGCATCTCATACTCTATAAATTGCCCAAGCTGGGTTCCAACTTGTAATCCTCCCACCTTAGCCTCCCACAGTGCTGGGATTACATGTATGTGCCTGGTACCATGCTTGGTTTCTCTTCTACTTATTTTTAATGTCCATTAAAAACCATATCGGGGGGGCTGGGGATTTAGCTCAGTGGCAAAGCGCCTGCCTGGCAAGCGCAAGATCGTGAGTTCGATTCCCGGTACCGGAGAAAAACCAAAAAAAAAAAAAAAACATATTGGGGGCCCAGCTCCCATAATCTTACCTAATTCTAATTACATCCCAAAGGCTCCATCTCTACATAACATCATACTGGGACATGTGGTGGATTAACTAATGGTCAACTTAGAACACACAGCTGAACTGAGTCAGCATGTTTCTAGATGTGGAAGGCCCACCTAAGGATTGTTGTCAGCAGCATAAAAGGCGAACTGGAGGGGCAGATAGTGTGCTGCTGCTGGAGAAGCTTGTCACACTGGTTTTCCTGATGTGAATTCAGCTGTTCTCATTGTCAGAGAAGCTCGGGTCCTCACTGTTGCTGAGGACAGCTGTGGTTCTCTTTGGGGGAGCTCGGTCTTTACCTTGAACATTGTTTCCTGGCTCCAGTGCAGATCCCTCAGCCTGCTGGCACAGATCCTTCATCCTGCTGGCACAGACTTTCTAGCTTCTACCACTGACCTTTGGGCCTTCCTAGTGCAAATCCTTGATACAGACTTGCATGAGACATTGTTGTGGGCTCTAGGCCTCCAGCTAGACCTATGGAGGACACTACCACGGGCTTTAGGTCTTCAGCTGGACTCATGGAGGATATTGTCAGGGGCTCTAGGTCTTCAGCTGGACTCGTGGAGGATACTGCCATAGGATCCAGGCCCTCAGCTGGACTCTGGGTCTCTAGCATGTGGACAGATCTCCAGCACTCCTCTGCATTTGACTTTTTAGGTGAATATTATAAAATAATCCTATAAATTATGTGTCCTGTATTAAATCTATTCCTTTGCAAACCCTGACTGCAGCATAGGAATTTGATCCACAGCAGCACCTATTACTTGGTTTTCCTAATTCAGGTTGTGGTTTTCTTGGTTCTTGGTAAGATGAGCAATTTTCAATTATATTTTGAATATTAGCTTGTGAGACTTTGGATCACATTTAATTTTCTTTTTCAATAAGCAATTTAATCTTGGTGGAACGATTCTGACTTACTTACGCAGGTTGGGGTCCCAGTGATAATTCAGTTTTCAGAGACTATGGAGTCCTATTCTGGTCTGCGTCCTTTGTGTGGGATACAAAAGCTAATGTAAAAATCTGGGCAGTGTTCCCCACTGTAGTTCAGTTCTCAAAACTTTTGCTGTGCTAATTCTGGTCAGCTTCTTGTGGTTACTACAGAGTTTGTCCAGGAGTTCATACATAAAATTCGTTTGCCCTTTTTTTTCCCTGTTACTGTTGTGGTACCTGGCACCATTCTTTTTTATTAGCTTCTCAATCATCATACATAATGAGTTCAAGGCCAGCCTGAACTACACAGCAAAACTCTCTCTCAAATAAATAAATGTAGGTATGCATGTAATAATAGGTAAGTGTCTTGGTTACTTTTCTCTCATTGCTGAGACAAAATATCCAACACCCAAAATTAAGGAAGGAAAGGTTTATTTAGCTCACAGTTTGTGGCGGTTTCGGTCCATAATCAGCTGGCTCCAAGGCAGTGGTATGGCACAGGGCAACTGCTCAAGGAAGGAGAAGATAGCAAAACGCAGCAAGAGCAAAAGGGAAGAAAGCAAGCCGTTTTCCCTCCCTTATGTTGTATGCTGGCTATCCATCCATGCCATCTCTGTGCCCTCCTCTTCCACCAGCTCAGGATGTTTACAAGGTAAGGACCCTGACCCCTTGCTGAGCTAAACTTCTAGTGTGTCAAGTTGACACACTGTATCAACCATTACAGTAAGATATAGGTGAACAATAGCTGACAGGCTAAGACATAAAGCACTGAACAGTATATATCGTAATAGAGGGATAAATAGGTAAGATTCATCCTAACAACCCAAATCTGTTGAGTGAGACAGAGATTTCCTGAAAAGCAAGGACCTACACTAAGATATCCACTGATAAAATGGAACTGATGCTCTTTTTCACAAAAAAGTTAAATCCAAGAAACACAACTGAGAGGTATGGCCCCCCCATCTGATAATGTCTTTATAAATAGCAAACACACCATCCTGTACTTAAAGATATCACACAAGATGGTTTTAAAAAGTAATAAGCTAAAAGTATGTTGACATCTGTAGCTAGATGCTTTAAACATGTAAGGAATTCCCAAATTTATTTTGAGTCAATTTATTTGCCAGTCCCAGAGCCAGTGCAGACAGCACACTGGCAGTGAGCAGAGTCCTGTCAGGCCAGACAGGCTCCAAATGGAAGTAGAAGAAGGACCTCAGGACCCAGCAACCTCAATGAAGGAGATAACAACATTAAGCTCCACAGAAGTAAGAGGAAACAACGTGACAGCACCAATCCCTGCGCCAGGCACCCAGACATGCACTCTCTTTCCTCCTGCTCTCGCCTCCATGCAGTAGATCTGCTTTTTCTCCCAGTCCCAGCTCCCCAGCTAATACATCCACCCGAGAATGTCTCTTTATGCATCGCCTTCCTTCACCCACTACCACTGCCACCACTGCCCTGTTCCTAGGTTCCCACGACACACATACTCCGTGGTGGATACAGCTTTGGTAAAAGAGCAAAGGCACAGAGACTTGGCTGGGATATCATCATGTCTTAAATAGATCAATAAGAGCCCCCCTTACAAAGGTCCATTTGTCTCAGAAATAGTTCTAAAGCATCTGAAAGACCTAAGGCTTTTTCTATAACGTATTAGTGCTGTCCTTTTAAGACTGGGGAAGAGGACAGAGAGGAAGACAAAGGCAAAAGAGACTGTAAGGAGAAAGAGGAAGGAAGAAATGTCTTCAACACAGCCATCAGAAGCGGCTTTTTCCGGGACTAATAGGACTCAACTGGAAATGTAAAAAAATGACTTGTGACATTCCCTGGCTATTACACAAGCTCAGGATCCATCTAAAAGGAAGACTTCTTCCTGATATAGTTTGTATCTGTGAACCATCCCAGACACCAGGGATACAGCCAAGGAGCTTTGCTATGATTCTGCCCCTTTTTCCTTCTCACTCCCTTAGCTCAGCCACTTGTTTTATATTTAAGGAACCTGAGGTCCAGAAAGGATACATTTGCCACATGCTCTAAGGACAAAGATCCAAGTTTCTTCCTTCCTGGTCCAGCTCCTCTATTCTTTTGGAACAAGTTTGTGTCTAATCCCAGTGAGAGGCTCTTTCTGGATTGTAATCTCCTTTTATCCTAGTCATGTCTATGATAATGGAGAGTGAGGCCACCTCAGCACTATGCTACAATTTTTCTGAAACATGCAGGGAAAGTAGAGTCCTTACCTAAACCAGACAAAAATGCTCCTAGTACTGTTTTGTTTTGTATTACTGAGGAGTGAATCCAGAACCTTCACACTCAGCTACATTTGTGGCCCTTTTTTATTTTAAGGAAGGATCTTGCTAGGTTGCTAAACTGTCCAGGCTGGGCTCAAATTTGTAATCCTCTTGGCTCAGCCTCCCAGAGTGCTGGGATTACAGGCATACACCACCATACCCAGTTGGCTCTTTTTGTTATTGCGATTATCTATAAAAAAGATTTCTTATTTTTCATTTATGGGTCTTTTAATTATTTTACAATATGATTATCTCACATTTACTCTAGAAGCTTTGGAAAAAGTGATTTGCTCCCATACAAAACCAAGGCAAGTCAGGTACAGTGGGGGCACTTGTGTAATGCCAGCTTCTCAGGAGGCTGAGACAGGAAGATCACAAGTTCTATACCAGGCCAGTTAACTTAGGTAGATGCTATCTTAAAATAAACTTTCAAAAGGATCAAGGATGTAGGTCAGTGGTAAAGCACTTGCCTAGCATACACAAGGCCCTCGATTCAACCTCCAACACTGCAGAGACAAGAAACTAAGACCATCCTTCAGGCTTACACAGGCTAAAAAGAATGTCGCATACCTCATCTTCCTTTGAACTCTCTCTCTGTGCTCCCTCTTTGAATTTGGCCAGTGCGCTCTTGAGGTCCTGAGACGTGTAGGTATTGGTGTTGATATCCAGCCTGCCCAAAACAAAACTGGGAATTAAGAGAAAGGTATGTTCCCCAAGAAAAGCCCTAGGTAGCTGCTAGGGTAATATAGGCCAACCCAGCTCTAACCTTGAGGGCACTACCTTACCATGCTGACAGGGTGACCTTCCCTTGAAATTAGGGTGGAAAGACACAGCTGATAATGGGATTATTTCACAAAAGAGGAGGAAAGGCCACAGGGCAGACAAAAGCCCACCCTGAACAGACAGCCTTTATCTAGGTGTTTGGGCAGAAATGAACATGGAAAATCTGTGTCACGCTGTGCTTTGCACACATGCCAGAGCAGGGTATTCTAAAAGGCAAAGGGTGCAGAGACAGGGTGTAACTTGCACCCATTCAGGGGTGGGGATGACAGGGAACTGAGTCCCCCAGAGTGTGTCTTACCTGATTTAACAAGCTAGTCTGTCTTCACAAAAATGACTTGGATAGATTCATATCTTAAGACCAACCTTCAAGCCCAGAGGAGAAGCAGGAGCTATGTATGTGTCAACCTGACAAAGGGAAGGATCTGACATGCCCTAGAGTAGAACCAAAGCCAGCTACCTTCCATAGCTAGCCTCCAAGGGAAGTAAAGGCACCAACGTGGCAGTAATCCCAAGAACCTGCAGAGACTAGAGTAATATCCTCATGATGACTCCTAGAGGAGATCCAAGTAACAGCTATTCATCTTGCCTGGAGAGAAGACATCCACTGGGGGTGTGTAGGGGGGGGTCTCACCACTAGCTCTCAATTCAGTTCCATGAAGGGAGGTAAGAACAAGACTGTCTGGCTATGACCAGGTGAAGACTTGAGAGGTGGGGTAGAAGGGGCTACTGTCCTGCTGTACTCCAGGGCAAGATGAGCATGTCAGCTGCATAGTCTAAAATCCCAGATCTCGAGTCTCAGCATTCATGAAAGGGACATATACTCAGTCCTCTACTCTTCCAGTCTTTGATTCATCCTAGAGACCCTTTAGGGCTCTGAGGAAAACACCTGTTTTCTCTAAGCCTCAGATCTTTTAAAGTAAATTTTTTTTTTTTCTGGTACCAGGAATCAAACTCACGACCTCACGCTTGCCAGGCAGGCACTGTGCCACTGAGCTAAATCTCCAGCCCTAAGGTAATTAATAATAGCTAATTATTCTCATTTATTGAGGACTTACTCAGATGTCAACCATGGGTTAATCCATTAAAAGTAATGTTTCATTCAAACAATTGTCCCATTCTTTGGGCCACATGTCATCATGACTCTCAGACACATAACTCTCACCCCCACTACATGCACACAAGCACGTGCCTTTCGCACATGCCCAGCCGCATCAGTACAGTCTCACTGAGCTCACAGCACTATGTCACCTGGTCAATGCCTTTGGGCTCTGTTCAGCTTGTCTTGCCATTGGCTATAACTACTTAGAAGGAAGAGGAAATGTCTGGCATTTTATGGAGACCATTCCAGAGCAGAGGTTCCAGAAACACTCCAAAGGAGAGAAGAGGCAGGAATAAGAACAAATTATTCTCCCTTATGATGCCTCTGCAGACCACATGGATGGCCCTGCTTTTCCTGGGTGGCGGGTACTGGGGAGCAAATGCAGGGGTTTGCATATATAGTACTAGGCAGGTGTTTCACCACCTACTTATATTCCTAGCCCTTTTTATGTTTTGAGATGGGGTCTTGCTAAATTGACTAGGTTGGCCTTAAGCTTGAGATCCTCCTGCCTCATCTCATAAATAGGTGAGATTACAGACATCTGCCATCATGTCCAGCTCCTAACTCAATATTTTTAAACCAAGGAGGAAATAAAACTTGGATTAGACATGAGAAAAGACCTCTCAAAAGTACTCTGAGACACTGACATAGGGGTATATGGTGTGTGTGTGTGTGTGTGTGTGTGTGTGTGTGTGAGAGAGAGAGAGAGAGAGAGAGAGAGAGAGAGAGAGAGATAGAGAAAGGTTGGCAGAGGCCATAACAATGACGTGATTATTTCTTATATGGTTGTAGGAAGAGTAACTATATGACCTGAGCTCCTCCACTATGATTGTATCTGCACAAATTGGGGAAAGGAAAATTCTTCCCAGTTTGGGGTAACTGTAAGGAAGACAATATATCTCGATATAAAGGAGAATCTTCTAATAGCAAAAGCTGCCCAAATCTGGCTAGACTGCTCTGTGACACTGTGATTGCCACCTGACAAAACTACACATGTACTGGCCGGATGACCTTTTGTCAGGCATGTCAAGGAAAAGACACAGGTAAGAATTGGGCCTCTAACTCCCTTTCAGATTCATGCCTACCTTCAAAATTTGTTAAAATAATACAAATTGAAGGACTGAGTTGTGCCTACTCAATCTATTAATTCCCCAAATGTACATGTTTTAGAACAAATCACCTGTAACAACGTATGATAATATTTTAGGCTTTGTGAGCTATCCGTTCCAACTTTTCAACCTTGCCACTACAGCCAGAAAGCAGCCATGGACAATACGTAAAGAAATGAGCATGGCTGTTCTCTAATCAATACTTGTGGATACTAAAATAGGAATTTAACATAATTTTCATGAGTCATGAAATATTATTTTTTGTTTTTCTCAACCCTTAAAATAAGTAAAAATCAACTTAGCTTATAGACCCAAACAGGCCGCATGCAACTGGCTCTCTGGTCCCTGTGTCAGAATCTTCATGGCGGGTACTTTTCACTACGCTACCAAACTGCACAATTCTCACAATCCCTGCCACCTCATGCCTCAACCTCCTTCTTCCTCATTCAGGAAATACCAAGCAAAGAAACCTTGTTAATTTGAAGTAATGAACAGAAAAATAGAGACTGTTAATTCTCTAAAATCAAATAACCTAAACTGGTTATTAAAAAGTAAGGCAACCTCCAACCACTGACGAGGGCATAAGTTTCTACTGGTACACTCTAAGAAAGCCTGTTTTAATACTGACTAACAAGAGGAAAAGTTAGTCTGAATTAAAGACTTTAAAATGCAATTTTATTGTTCACCAAGGAAGTATTACTGCGAAGCAGAAGGCCTAACAGGCCTGTTTTAATGAATAGATGACTCATCTGTAATCAGCACATTAATTGTTGGGATTCAAATGGGTGCTCTTAAAGTACTGGGAAAAACAGCTTCATTTTTAAAGCAGGTTAAACATTCCCCCTACAGCCTTTTTTAAAGTATCAGTTCGCTTTAGCAAACTGTTTCTTTCCAAAGACTGTAGAAGTAAACTTTTATATCACCCTGACAGATTTATCACAAATCTGATGCTATTAAATTTCAAATTTTAAAAATCCACGTGCATTTGGGTAACACTTTCAGTATTTCAACATCAGCGTCAACACTGAACCTCCCAGTCCCTATATTTAACATCATACCTTTTGCCTTTTTTCAACCCTTTCAAATTATTTCGGAACTTGTCTTCGTGCTGGAGTTTCACCTCTCTTGCCCCAGTCTGAAGATTCAGTCTTACATGGGATCCTGCAGGAACAGCCTGGCCTAAAAGCCAAGAAGAAAAAAGGATCATATGATCTAAGGTCCCTGGAGGGACACTGTGTCAGTTACCTCCTCTGTCCGGTCCTTCCTCTCCCTGTAACCTACACACCCCACTCACATATGCTGCTTTGCTAACCTACAAGGGAACCTGTAAGAGGCTGAGGCAAGGTGGAAAAGATGATACACACTTGAATCTAGAAACCAACATTCCCTTATCAGAACCTGCATATTTAAGCTACTCCGTGCTTTCTTTAAATTGAGCAAAGACACATTTTGTTCTGTGCACTAGGTGAATGGTGGATGCCCGCTCACCTTTCAGGATGTGGACAGATTGTTGTCTCCTTTCTGACCTATTCCTGCCCCTTCCTGGAGAGTCCCAAAACTCCTGCTTTCTCAGCAAGCTTCCTACCTCAACGCCCTCATCTGTTTAAACAGGCTCCCTCTATGAAGCTCTCTCCTCCCTGAACACAGGATTAACTGTCTCTCCTCCTTTTGAATTTCTCTAGCCCTTATGTCAGAGCTTGGCACAAAAAAAAAAATTGTGGCTCATAACATTTATGAGAAAGAAGGAGGAAGTGACTGGAATGCAGGAGGACACAGCAAGCCAAGAAGCTGGCAGTGGAACCAAGACAAACTGAAAACTTACACCCACCTATTTTAGAGGAACTGATCCATTAGCTGTGAAAACAAGTGTTGTGAATGGATAGCTATTTCTATGCAGTGCACAAGGATGGTTGAAAAGCAACTGTGCAGAAAGCACATACCACAACAGAATGTTACACTCATTCACTCACTCACAGAAGTGGTATCTACTGGGCAGTGATTATATACCAGTCCACTGTGCTAAATTCTAGGAACACAAAGATGAATGTTAATGGCTGCAGGGATGAGGCATTTCAGGGAAAGGGGCCTTTGGGAGACTTGAAATTTTAAACAAAGGTGGTGCTTCTGATACTTGGACTTTGACCTGCTTTCTCCTGCTAAAGGATAGCACTGCCTTACTAGTACTGCGTTTGATTCAAGAACCTAAAATAAGGGCAATCTACAAGTATTTCCTCCAAGGAAACATAGCACAAGTTCTCAGCATGATAAGGTAAATTCTGAGTATAAAAAGGTAAGATGCAGCAAGAGTTCAACACTTTTCTTAACTCCAGCAGGTCCACAACGAACCCTTATGTTACTTTAGCCCCTCTGCTCCAACCAAGGAGCTAGAAAAACACACATGTGGCTTCTGTTCTGCTGTACCACTTCAGTAGGGAGATCTTATGGAACCTTGGAATATAAGGGTATATGTGTAATTACCTCCCTTTAATCCCTGCCAAAATGTGGGGTTTTCATTTATTTTTGTTCTTTTGAGACAGGGTGTAATGGTTGATACATTGTGTCAACTTGAGAAGTTTAGAAGTTTAACTAAGGGACTCAGCAGGGGGCCAGGGTCCTCACTTTGTAAATATGTTCATCCTATGCCAGAGGAGGGCTCTGAGATTGTGAGTACTACATACACCTGCCCTAGGGGATGGTAACCTGCTTACAATATAAGGGAGGAAAAGAGGCTTGCTTTCCCCTTTTACTCTTGTTGCTTTTGCTGTCTTCTGACCCTTGAAGTGTTGTCCCTGTGCCACCCTGCCTTGGAGCCAGCTGATTATGGACTGAAACCTCCACAAACTATGAGATAAATAAACATTTCCTTCCTTAATTTTGGGCGTTGGGTATCTTGTCTTAGCAATGAGAGAAAAGTTACCGACACACTGGGTCTTGCTATGTAGTTCAGGATGGCCTTGAAATAACCATGTAGCCCAGGCTGGTCTTGAACAAACAAACATTGATAGTGAATCCTCAATACAAATGAAGCCAGACAGCCGGGTGTGGTGGCGCATGCCTGTAATCCTAGCACTTGGGAGGCTGAGGCAGGAGGATCATTTTGAGTTCAAGGCTAGCCTGGGCTACAAAGTGAGCTCAAGGCCAGCCTGAAATGCATAGCAAGATGCTGTCTCAAAAAGACAAAAAAAAAAAAAAAAATGAAGCCAGACATGGTCACATTTTACAACAAAATGAAAGACAGAGTAGATGTTGTTGACGAATTACGCAGCAACTTTGATGTCACTCAACATATAGTGTTGGCCAATAGTTGTGTTTTACTTAATCCTAAACATGTCAGGCATAGTTTCATAGTTTACAAAGAAAACAAGCACAAAATATCATGGAAAAATTTTCTTAGAGAATTGGGACTGTAATTGATACATGATCAATTACAACAGAGGAAGAATACTATGTATCTGCACAAAGAACTCCCAAAAGAATTCTGGAGCAGACTGGTGAACAGACAGGTGAACCTTCTCAGAAGGAACCTTCTCAGAAAACAGGAAGACCAACAAGCTGTCAGGTACATCCTACCAAAGAATACAGAAAAATAAAACTCAAGGTGTGAAATGTCTTCACATCTAACAGGGAATATGTTTTTATACCACATTTGGAAGGTTTATTTGGCATATACTGCCAAAAGCTTCAACAACCACAAAATGATGCAAGTTGTTTGTCAATTGTTATATATTTGGTTGGTGTACAAACTGCCAGGCGTCTGAAACAAAGCTTTCAAAAAATGAGTAAGTAACAGGCAAATTGTTGGAATTTTCTCTCTCAGTGGGTCTTTTTGCCATCAAAACAAGGGCAATTTTGAAAGAAACCAAATCTCTTGAGTATCAGTATTGTTCTAAAAATTCAATGCTGCCAGGCACAGTGGCACACACCTGTAATCCCAATACTGGGGAGGCTGAGACAGGACAATTGCTAGGAGTTTGAGGTCAGCCTGGGCGACAAAGTGAGTTCAAGGCTAGCCTGAACTGCATAGTGAAACTTTGTCTAGCCAGATCATCCTTGACATGCACCTCTACTTACCACCCCATACGCTTTCTTTCCTCTCAAATCTGTTGGCTTCTCCTGTTACATGCTTTAAATTCAACCCCTCTCCATTCTCCCGCCACTGCCTTTGTCCAGCTCATCACCACTTTTCATCTAGATACAATGATAACCTTCCATTCGGTTCCCGGTACCGGAGAAAAACCAAAAAACCAAAAAAAAAAAACAAAACAACAACAACAACAAAAAAATGATAACCTTCCAACTGGCCTCCCCTACTTCCCCCGACCCCACCCAACCCCCCAAACCAGTTTTATGTAATTTTTCTGCTCCAAACATTTAGTAGTTTCCTACAGTCCTTAGGATAAAAATAAATATCTATACCCTGGTCATGAGAACCCCTGGTATCTGGCCCCTGCCTGCCTCTTCAGCCTTGTCACCCCCTCATTCTTACCCTCCTAGCAACTGAACTTTCTTCCACTCCACTGAAAAACCATACTTTCAGCTATCAGGGAGCCATTTCATCTGCTGTTCCCTTTGCCCAGGATGTTCTTTCTAACCCCAGCCTCCCTGTTCTCACCCTCTCCATTCCCAGCTAAGGGTCACTTCCTCTGAGACGTACTCCGTTTTCTCAGACTCTATCTCAATCCCAAAGGCTTTGTTGGTAGCACCATGAACACTTTCTTTATAACATTTATCACAATCAGTAGTTACAGTTTTGCTTTTTAATTTATCTTGTTAAATGCTTACATTTTTTCCCCTAATGTTATCACATGGCTGAACATGCAGTCAGTGAAGTTTCATATAATTATTTGGTGAGAGAAAAATTTTAAATGAAAGAGAGGAAATCCTGGCTAACCTAGAAGAGGCGATAAGTGTGGAAAGGTCAATAAGAATTTTCACTGGGGAGGATAGATTCATAATAATTAGTAATGTTAACAGTTAATTTTATTACCAATAGTATTAGTACTTATAATAATAATAGTAGCAGTATCTAAGATTTTCTGGTTTTTACCACAGTTAGAAATCCAGAGGGAAGTACATGAGTTTATAAACTTCAGACATAACACACATTAGACCTTGCTAAACTAGCCAAAGAAGAGACTAAGATTTTATGTGAATCATTATTTTATTTGGAGAAAATTCCAAAATTGCACTTTTCAAATAAGCCACCACAGGGGGCAAGAGCAACCACACAGCATTAACTCAAAATACAGGTTATGCTCATTTAAAATATACAAAGCCAATCATGGCAGCAGCAGTAACACAGCAGTAGTAGCAGCAGTGGTGGCAGAAGCAAAAACAAACAGAAAACCAGTATTTCAAATGTTTCCACCCCATTGGGGAAAAGGCCAAATTACAGAGAGTGGGATCTGATCTGCATCTTCTAGCTTTTGCAAAAGAAGAAAAGTGCCAAAACAAACAACAACAAAAACACTGGGAAAGAACAAAGCAGAAGAAAAGAGAAGTTACAACACACAGCATAAACAGTGAGGGGCTACAGAAAGAGGGCAGGTAGAAAATAAAACTGGGATCCAGGAAGGCAGACAGACCTACTGTCTTGGTTACTTTTTTCTCGCTGCTGGGACAAAATATCTGATGACCAAAATTAAGGAAGGAAAGGTTTATTTCGCTTACAGTTTGTGGAGGTTTCAATCCGTACTAGGCATGATTATAAGGCAGAGTGGCACGTGGCAGAGGGCTGCGTCTCAGGGCAGCAGCACAGCCAAGCCGCCAGCACACACCAGGGCGGAATCTGGGAGGAATTGGCCTCAAGCAGCTTCTTCCTCTCCCTTACATATGCAAACCATCCACTAGGGGGGTGCACAGCTCTCACACCCATATTCAAACTCTAACAGCCTGCCCCATTTCCGCATGAGGCTTTGGGGGGACACACAGACATAAACCATAACACCTACAAAGCCTACAATTGCTTTTTCGCCACCACTGATTCCCTGGAGCAGGTCCTAAGGTGGGGTACCACGGCCTGTAGAAACTGTCCATATTAAACAAGGTCACCTCGTACTTGAGTTTGACTCCCACTGGGACTGTCACTGACTTCAAGCATAGTCCGGGACTCAGATAAAAACTGCTTTTCCCAGAGAGAAAAAAAATTTGTGGCACACTCCAACACTGTCATCAGTTTT